TTTTCTTGTCTGATTTTTTTTAAGTAATCAGCTTAAAAGTTGAAAGCAGCTATTAATTTCATCAAGAGAAGATATAGCAAGTCTTTGCATTGCTATTATTTTGCTACATACTCTAGGCTAATAAGTAGGGCTCTGTTTATGCCAACTTTCTTATATCAGTTACATAACTTACACCAATTTTGAACTGCTATGGACGGAGTAAGTGAAAACTGGCAGAGCTGAATTCTTCTGAAGACAATATGAAATGATCAGAAAAAGAAAAAGACAAAGCAATGCCCAACATCCTTCAGGTCAGTACCCATCAGTAAAAAAGGATTCACACTACAGAATGGATTTTACAGGCTATTCCCTTGATGATGGCAGATCTGCCTTTATCTAATAAACATTCATCCAACCTACTTGTAAAGGCATCTAAGGGTAAGCTCATTGTCTCAAAAGTATGGTGTCTTTCTGAGGATAAAAAGACTCTGTTGAATCTAAATTGGTTTTGTTGTTGTTGCTTTGTTTTGGTTTTTTTGTTGGTTTTTTTTTTTTCAGCTGCAGCTCTTAGAAATCAAGAATCTTCATGTGTCACTCATCACAGACCGGGGACTTGCCAAGCCAGCAGTTCCACAACAGAGCTTAACATTTGCTGTTCCCCTCCTTTTCCCTGTCCCACAACATCAGTTGCATTTAAGAGAGATTGGATCCATCTGACTGAGTGCCTCTTCCATCTATCCAGGGTGACTCACCTGCTTCTGGATTGTTTTCACAAGAGGGAGTTCATTGGATTACCACATAAACTTCTAGTATGCTTCAGCAGCAAGGCAGGAAGAGGCTGGGAGAGCCAACCAAGCTGGAACACAGACAGAAGTTCAGCTGGGTGCTGGGCAGTGAAGCTACAAGCTAAGTAAAAACACTGGCCAAGAGAGGGGCAAAAATGAGAGTGGGCTGCTGGAGGATGTGGCTGCCTGAGCTCGTTTTAAACCAAATGACTGAGGCATTTGCAAGATGGGGCATCTGCCTCATCAAGAGTTGGGCTCAGTGGTCTTTAGGAGTCCGTTCCAAAGGGGGTGACTCTATGATTCTCACATCTCATCGGGTGCTGAGGGAGCTGGCAGAGGTGATTGCTGAACCGCTTTCTGTCATCTTTGAGAAGTCTTGGAGGACGGGGGAGGTGCCTGAAGACTGGAAGATAGCCAACATCACCCCGGTCTTCAAAAAAGGCAAGAAGGAAGACCCAGGCAATTATAGGCCAGTCAGCCTCACCTCTGTCCCTGGAAAGGTGATGGAACAGCTTGTACTGGATGTCATCTCCAGACAACTGGAAGAAGAGGAGGTTATCAGGAGTAGTCAGCACAGGTTCACAAGGGGGAGGTCGTGCTTGACCAACCTGGTAGCCTTCTATGATGTTGTCTCTGGCTGGGTGGATAGGGGGAGAGCAGTGGATGTAGTCTACCTTGATTTCAGCAAGGCATTTGATACTGTCCCCCATGACATCCTTATAACAAAGCTGAGGAAGTGTGGGATAGATGAGTGGACAGTGAGGTGGGTTGAGAACTGGCTGACTGGCAGAGCACAGAGGGTCGTTGTTGGTGGTGCAGAGTCCGGTTGGAGGCCTGTAACTAGCGGTGTTCCTCAGGGGTCTGTGCTGGGTCCAGTCTTGTTCAACGTCTTCATCAATGACCTTGATGAGGGGATAATGGCCACCCTCAGCAAGTTTGCTGATGATATGAAGTTGGGAGGATTGGCTGACACGCCTGAAGGCTGTGTTGCCATTCAGCAAGACCTGGATAGGCTGGAGAGCTGGGCAGAAAAAAACCGGATGAGGTTTAACAAAAGCAAGTGTAGAGTCTTGCATCTGGGGAGGAATAATTCCATGCACCAGTACAGGTTGGGGGATGAGCTGCTGGAGGGGAGCTCCGCGGAAAGGGACCTGGGTGTCCTGGTGGATGACAGGTTGGCCATGAGCCAGCAGTGTGCCCTTGTGTCCAAGAGGGCCAATGGTATCCTGGGGTGCATTAAAAAGAGCGTGTCCAGCAGGTCGAAGGAGGTGATCCTCCCCCTCTATTCTGCCCTGGTAAGACCTCATCTGGAGTACTGCGTCCAGTTCTGGGCTCCCCAGTACAAAAAAGACAGGGATCTCTTGGAAAGAGTCCAGCAGAGGGCCACGAAGATGGTGAAGGGCCTGGAGCATCTCTCCTATGAGGAAAGGCTGAGTGAACTGGGTCTGTTCAGCCTTGAGAAAAGAAGACTGAGAGGGGACCTGATCCAGGTCTATAAATATCTAAGGTGTGGGGGGCAGAATGGCAAGGCCAGACTGTTTTCAGTGGTGAGTGGAGACAGGACAAGGGGAAACGGCTGGAAACTGTAGCATAGGAAGTTCCGCACAAACATGTGCCAGAACTTCTTTACAGTGAGGTGATGGAGCACTGGAACAGGCTGCCCAGGGAGGTGGTGGAGTCTCCTTCTCTGGAGATGTTCAAGACCTGCCTGGATGCCTACCTGTGCGACCTACTGTAGGGAACCTGCTTTGGCCTGGGGGTTGGACTTGATGATCTCTGGAGGTCCCTTCCAACCCCTACAATTCTGTGATTCTGTGATCTGAGAAGAGAGCTGTGACCATACTTAGTGAAAGCACAGTAGAATTCTCAAAACAACAAAAAAAGAAAATAACAACAGAAAAAACAACTGGTTACTTAAAAAAGATATGTATCTTTGCTGAACTGTGAGAGAATTTGGTCAAGAGTTTGGGAGATGAGGAGAGTGGGCTCCTACTTATGTTAGTTACAGTGCCATAATGAAGGTAGCTCCCCCTTGCTAATTGTAGTCTATGCACTCCTGTTTCTCTCAATATCTATGACAGATATCTCTTCTGATGGAGGCTCACCTCTCACTGTAAGAAATCCCTTTCCTAGCTAAAGCTTTCCTTCATGTTTGATTTTGGGTTTTTTTTGGTGTTTTTTGTTGTTGTTGTTGTTGTTGTTTGCAACAATCTTTTCTTTGGGTTGGAAAACAGCATCAAAGATACTACTCTACACTTTGACATGCATACACTGTACTCATTCAAGAGCTGATGGCCAGGGTTCAAACTCACCTATATCTTAAGAGACAAATTTATTTCTATGTGTGGATTGGTGACTATTATGTAAGGATTTGCCTACATTTTGAGCAAAACAGATGATAGCTTCTTCTCTGAATGTAAATGCCAGCAGTTCAGCTAGTGGTGGAACTTTGGTTGCCGCCTTGTCATTAACCAAAAAAGCCAGTGGTAGTATAGGGGATTAATAGGGAAGTGTGTAGGGGTAAAGTAGCTAGGCTTCCCCAAGCTGTCAGGGCAATCCATTTACTTGTGTCTCATATGGTCAGAAGGAAACTGGAAAACAGACTGATTAAAAAGCAGCTGGACACAAGGTGTTGAAGCAAAGCCTGTACATATGGATGCCATATAACCCTAGAGTAGCTTTATTATTTAATCTATAATTTAATAGTAGACCTATAAAATAATTACATTATACTTAAAGTATTTCTTCATTTTTTGTTTTCATTTATAAAACAAGAATTAAATACAGTTTTAACCATTACAAGCTCAACTCAGTTTTTACATAAACATAGCTCCTAGAAGGAACTTTAAGCTGCAGCATAGTCATATTGCAAACTGATGAAAACCCCAGGCAGGGCATAGCTTAAAGATTCTTGCACATCATTCCTAACTGAAGTTACCACAGTGCTTTTCTCTCTCTCATTCCAAAATGACTGACTTTCAGTTTGTTTCTTTCAAGTGGAGACTGAGATCACTGGAGTCATAACAGATTAGTTTTCTCCACTTTGCCCCACACCCACACTGACACTATCAGGCCTGGAATGAACACTATCCATTCAGGGGTTGGCATGATGCTGTTAGTAGAGTAATGCCAGCTTCTGAAAAAACAACTGTGAGGGGTCTCCCTCTGCATTTCTGAAAGATCACAGAAGAAAACGCATAACTGTTCACTTAATAGGGCTAACACACCTGACCAACCTCATCCTGCCCGTGCCAATCCCCATAAACCGCTTGGTGAGCTCTTGTGGAGCTCAGTCCCAAAAGCCTCTTAGAGCAGCCTGTCTCACATAATATGGCACTGAACTCTTGGTTGGCCAGAGTCCTAAACACATTAACCCCTTGAAGTGGCTGCACGTAAGGAATCTGGAAGGAAAGGGTTCCCACAGCAAGTTGTTATCAGCAGATGCAGATCCTGAACCCTAAGACATGCATCGGGGAGTCAACTTGTCACTGTTAATTAGTAAGCTTCAGATGATTGAGCATGCATGGGCTACAGTTTGGGGGAAGGGGCTGGTTTGTTTTTAGACATCTTATGATCTTAATGCAGCTGGTACTAATACAGATCAGAACTGGAACAAACAGGATACACAGGACATGCTAAACTCCACCAAGTGAATAACAACACAGTATGATCAAAATTAACTGCAAAGTGTTCACCACCATGGATTATGTAGAACCCAAACACTCAGTGGGCCACCAGTGTCACAGTGATTAGCACTGACTCTCTCTCCCTACTCATACAACTGTGACCTATTGCCACAGCACTGACTGATGGGTTTATCCTTTAACATCAACACTTCTTCCTGGTTTCCAATCATGGGAGAGATGTCACTTCCAGCACCTGATGACGCTGAACAATAAGGCAGCTTTTGCATTCGGTCCAGCAATGACCAAATTTTGTTCTTTGTGCGACAGTACTTTTATACCTTAAGTGAAATACACCACTAGTGTTCTCAGCTCCTCTCCAATTACCTTCCACGTTCTCCAGTCTGAGCAGGCATAAATATAAGGTAATAAATGGATGTTGTCCTTTTTGGAGTAAGAAACAGGCGCAGATCTAACACATTAACGTACCAAAAGCCCAGTTAAAATGCATCCATTTTAAGCCAGGCAGCTGACCTAGCAACCAAATCTCTTACCACATTTTAATCTCCGACATATTCTGTCACAAGAAAAATATACATGGCTAGGTCTATAATACTTTAAGCAGCTGTTTACTATAGCTAAGTTACAAAACAAACACTGCTGCAGAGACCACATGTTCAGTATATTCCAGCCACAACAGCTTAAGAATCCTCCTTCAGGCTGCTGATGTGATCATGGCGGCTGATCTGACGTTTCGCCCTCTCCCCTTCAGCTCTTATCTGCAGTTCAGACCACAAGTTTGGAACAGTTTGTCAATTGCACAGTAAGAGGTGTCTCAAGAAGCCGAGCCTTGACAGAGAGTCTTTTTTTGTATGTTACTCTTTGTAGCTCTCCCTGGTCTGCCTCACCCAGATTTGGGCAGAACCCAGCCTATCGTGGTGACAGCAGCAAGCTCCGGAACAGCTTAATGGGAAGGCATCTCATCTGGTGGAGGGGACTGGAGTGTAGGGAGATGGCTTTACTCCACACAGTGGAAACATTTAACGTTGCATTCAGCCAACTGGTCACTTAGATGCACAGTCTCAACTTCAGGAGCCTGCTCCACCCCGTAAGATTCAACTGTCAGATGATACCAGACATAAAATGAACCTGATGGTCAAGTGCATAACATAGCCCATTAAACAGCTTTATTCCAGTAGGCACATGACAAGGAGCCTTTCCTTTCTGGAGAGATATCTCCCGAAATGAAAAATAAACAGGGAAAAAAGAAAAAAAAAAAAAACAAGAAAACAGGCAGTCTGCCCAAGGGAGAGGAGATGCAGCGGGATGCCTGATGTGGACAACCGGAAAACAGCAAGCAGCAGCCACACAGCTGTTCTTACATCTTGCCTGAGTTGTTCAGATTCACAGACATGCACCGGCACTGCTTCACCTTCTGAATTTTCTTGAGTCGGAATGGTGGGTCCAGCTCGGGGCATTCCAGCTGCACAGTTGAGGAGGTCACCTTGTGTGGCTTGCAGAAAGCACAGGACTGGAAGGACTCCTCCTCCTTCTTCACATGCCGCGGTATGTAGAAGGAGTTGCACTGCCCATAGCAGAAGCGGTTGATGATGGTGCGGCTTATGCAGCCCTCCTCACTGACAGTCTGTCGCAAGGGCTGCGTCTTGCACCAGTCGCTCTTGAGGTACTTCCGTTCAGTGACCACGAGGGCCTCCTGGCTGGAGGCCAGCACCTCCTTGTTCAGCTGCTGCCTCCGCTCTGAGTTGTTGCTGCTGCTGTCCTTGTAGGGGGATGGGATCGCCCCCGCCGGGCGGTTCTTCCTGCTGTCTGCTACTCTAGCCAGTGCTGCCATCAAAAAGATGGACACGGCCAATTTCCAAATCATCCTGCAATGGCAATACAAGAAGCTGTTAGAAGAGGCGCGTTTTCAAACCACAAAGTTCTGAACCTAACACATGCTTTTAGAAGAAATGGAGACCTTAGTGCCTTTGTAATCCCACCACTTTTCCTAAGAGATTAGGTATATTCTAGGGTGAGCATTTATCACAAAGAGGTCAGGGCCCTGTGGAAATGCCCCTCTCCTCTTTCCCCTGTAGGAAAGCTAATGCTTTGATCACTGAACCACCGTCTTTGCAGAAGCTTCAGCCAGAAAGGTTTCCTTCTTTTCTGTGAAATCCTGGGCCAAACAGCTGGGCAAATTCCTGGCTAGGAAAGGCTCAGCAGACTTCTGCCAACTCAGTCACTGCTCATCTGTGGAGACTGGGGAGAGGGAAGGGAATAGTACGCTACACAAGGTAAACTCCCATTTGCCTCTTCAGATCTAAAGTCCCTACCTAGCCTAGTTCCAGGCAGAGGAGTGAGAGGTGTCCAAAAGTATATTTTTATCATTTTGAATTGCTTCTGGTGTTTCTCAGGGCTTACAGCACATACAGCCCTTCATACACTGTGTTTGTGGGAGGCCGAAAACTTGATAGATTTATTCTTCCAACAGGAGGAAACGCTTAAATACAACACAGGGGACTTCATTACTGCAAGGTTTCCTAGGCAAATAGCTTAAGAAGGTTTGTAAACATGAGAGAGTTCAGTATTTACTTTAGATGTTAAGGAATAGGCTAGAGCATAAGCCAGTTGCTAAGCTAAAGTAAGCAGCCAATTGGCAAAAGTATTTTTTCCAATAGTTGTCTATTAGAATTTCTTGTTCTGTGGAGCATATCTTAGCAGCTCCTGGATTTTCATCAACAACTTGTTGATTCAGTTTAGTAATGTGTCTAAATGTGCATGTATGACATCAGAGCAAAAGTACTGAATTTCCTCATCAAGCCAATGTTCACAACTCATTTGACTGTTTATTTAATTTTGTTGTCCCAGGAAAGGGAGAGCAGAGTATTTCTAGGGTGCCAGAAGTGAGTGCAGCCCAGAAGCTTTATGTTCAGAGGTTAGGGACACTTCAACTCTTTCTAAAAGTGCTCTGCTTACCTTTGTTCTGAAAAGACAGTATTTATGCAACAGTATGCAGATGAAAGAGTCATCCTTCTTTTCCCAGTATAGTTTCAAGTCCTTTCGAGTAGTGTTTTTTTTTTTCTCCTTTAGAATGATGCCAAGAAAGCAAATACTATCACACCAATAAATATAGATATATCTAACACTGTAGTGCAGACATTTGAGATTTTGCATTAGGTAGTTCTAAGATAAAAACACACCATTTTCCAAATAAAGACACCAACAGATCAAAAATGTGTTTGTGGTGAAGATTCAAGACATCAACAAGGCAGAGTTAACGTATTTAAGCTCTGGATAGATAAAGAGAAGGAAAAGTACCAGATTAAGTGGAATATGTTTTAGATAATTTTCTAAGTTTATAAGATCTCAAGGTCAGACTTTGACTAAATTTTAAGGGGAGAAGCTGGAAGTGCTGAAGGAAAGTGCTTATCCTAGAGCTGTGAGTGGAAGATGCTCTGATGCAAACATCAAATATCACCAGACTGCATGCTTGAAATGGACACCAGAGTTCCTAAAACCCAAATGAGCAAATTCATCTGTAAGTATGCCAAGTGACCACTGACATCCATGGTAGCCATGGGTTCTTTAAATCAGTGGCCTATTTTTGCACTGCTTAGCATTCAGCACACAAGTCCAGAAGGTTTGTCCAGATCCTTCAAATGAATCAAGACTAGACTTGGATTTCATCACAGGTATTGTCGCCAAGAGCCCTGGATGTCAACCACCGCAGCCAGGCCAAACTCTAATCGGGTAATTAGTTTCACTTGAATGCAGTGTTCCATGTTTCCTCCCAAACTGTTCTCATGTTATTCTACACTGATGGCTGCTTTTCAGTAGTAGATAAAAAAATGTGTGCCCACTGTTTTGTGCTTTAGATAGAAAAGGGAGGGAATAAAACAGGAGTTATGAGCCGACATTCTCTAGAAAAAGACATGCCAGGATGCCTTATGCCAGCATTCCTCAGACAATCTCTCCTACTTCTTTTCTATATGCAGGGACACAAAGTAAATGCTCCAGCTCTACTGTCCTTCAGGGAAGGAGTCCAGTCCTTTTCAGCAGGGATATACCTCTCCAGTTTCATTTATCTTACCCTGACATGGAAGAGAAAGGTAAAAATCCAGAGACATGTCAAAAAGAGATGCACACTTTCCCACACCCCTTTCCTAGCAAAACTCTGCATTACCACACCCACAATTTTCCATTACCAAATACAAGTTAAAAGACAACTTCCTTTGCATGTCAAGGATGGGTTTGAGCAGAAATCCTACACAGGAATTCCATAATGCTGACAGAAGTAGGAACTTGAAATTTATAATGTGGAAAAATATTATAGTAGCTTTATAATTTCTGAAATAGTTTTATGTAGGCATGGGAAGCAATTCAACAGAATAAATAGGATTTATTCACTAAGTCTATGTTTATAACTAATAAAGCATTATTAATCAAAGCCACTATTGTACAATTATAAACCAAACTCTGCAGTACACATTAGCAAGTACTTCTACAGACACTCAGGAACACAACGCCTATTTCTGTCATTGATCTCTACCAAATTTGAACTTTCTGATATGTACAGAGAGCACATTACTCTGGTTTACACCAGCTAGTCAAACGTGCATCCTCTCAGATCATGGAATTTCTAATCGCAGGGCTGCCGCTTACTAACCGACAAATCACTCCTTCCTAAACCCTGGCACACAAACCCCTATTCAAGCCAGTAAGGGTGCAAACAAGGTCACCTGATGCCAGGAACACACCATGGACTACATATGTTTTAAGTAATCACACGCAAAGAAAAAAGAAACTTCCCTGTTCTCAGAGAAACAGAACATTCTGGCACACTCAGCCCAAATGCAAGGCAGCATGCTGAACGCTGCCTGTCCACAAACAGAACAAAAAGAGAAGAAACAGAAACATTCTGGTTTCTGGCAAGAACAGAGCAGTTATGTCCTTCCTCAATATCAAGGAATTATATAGCAGGTGGTCTTAAGAGTTGAAAGCTGCTAACACGTGTGCAAATGCCAGCCTGGGTCATCATTCCCGCAGCACTGAGGGGCTTCTCACATCAGAGCTGATGGAAGCTGCTGTGTGATGGTTTTCAACTCCTTCAGGAGTTTCTGCCAGCTGCTGCAAGGCCTCTGTTACCCTCCCCCCACCACTTCCTTTTTTCAGTCTGTGAGCTGGTGCAGAAAATAACTTAATCTTATACTAGACATGAAACAGGGCCTAGCTGCATTAGCATTTCACATGTTAAGCTTTTATCTCTTTTAGATAAGGAAATCAGCATAAAGCATGAGTTCACAGGCTCCTGAAACCTGTCATGCTGAAGCAGAGCTGTAAGGTACACAGGAGTCTACAAAATCCTTGGCCAAGGAAGCAGGAATGCCAAGACCCAGCTCTGTAATCCAAAGAGGTCAGGGCACGCAGCTAGGAGGGGAAGACCCACGACTGCTGTGTCTGCCTTCAGCTTTATTTCTTGTTTGTATCCAATTACTGTGTAACATAAAATATCTACTAAGTCAGGCTCCCTCCTGCATACCATTCTTCTGGCCCTATAACTCAACGCATTCTTGAAAACTATCCAGCTCTGGAGCAGGACAGGCAGTAGTGTAGCCACCAAAATAACCTATAGTTTTGCCATTAGGGCACTTCCCTAGGAATTAGAGCAATGGCTTTGACCTCAGAATTCAAGCGCATCATTTTGGGAAGTCCACCAACAGAACAGGGAGCTATGGTCCCTGAAAGACAAGAGAGGAAGCAATGACAGCACCCATCCACACCAAGTGACTGCTCCAGAGTTTCGTTTAGTGACTTCAATTTCTGAGCTTAGGATGAAGTTTCTTCTCCTGTTTCACAGATTGGCCTGTTTAATCAATCCTCAAATGATGAAAAAGAGAGACGGATGTAAGCAGAACCAGCAATTGTGAGATCCATTTTCTTGTTTAAGCATGGAACACCTACAAACCACCCAGAATTATCAGCTTGCCCAAAAGTATCAAGCTCTCTGATGTACTCATAAATACATTGGATTTAGTAACATAAACCTATTCCACCACCATCAAAAGTCAGATGTAAGAGACAAAGGGAAAAAGAACAATAGAAAGATGAAAACTCCAAATTCAGAGACACTTTAGTTTTTGAAAACTAAAATTGATAAGAGAAGAATTTGTCTTGGAAAATTGTGGTTTCTCTTCTACTAGCAGCAAAAGACAGGCAGTATAGCCTAAATGAAATCAAGTACAGTTTTGTGGCACGGTACCTACACAGTCACGTGATTCTGTGCATCACTCTTTTCCAACCTGCAAACTGTAGAGACTCAAAAGCTTTCCCTTGGGATCAGCTCTTTGCTGACCCTGGGACTCAAAGCTACGTTCTACTCCACCATTTACTTTATTATTATACCTAGTCAAAAAAGAACTTGCACAAAACAACCATATGTTTATTAATGCAAGAACACTGTGTATATGTTCAGTTCTTAGCTGTTAAGATGGCACATAAGAAGTGTTCCTTGAAGATAAGCCAGGCAATAACTTTCCAAAGAACTAAAACGTGGCTTTAATGACTTATGTTGGAAGCAAGGAAATATCAGATTCTCTCCCAGGAAGTAAAAAATATTATTTATTTAATTTATCAGCGGTTAAGCATGATTCTAATAGTTAAGCATGATTCTAATAGTATAATATACAAATAAAGATGAAACAAATTAAGCACCTTTACGCAAGGGAAGCATTTGGTTCTAGCCTCTCCCCTTGAAGTATCTTTTGGAAATCATTGATCCTATGTCTCCAAACAACAGTAATAAATGATCACTGTATATCTTTATTTCTCAAGAGGAAGGGACCTCTTAGTGATTGATCCCAATATTAACAGATTCTCACAGTTAAAA